TTATTCCAAAAACGGACAGAACTTTCCGGTAGACCTAATATTTATGCGAGAAGATCAATCAATATAAAACGCATCAAATATAAAAAGTGCATGTATGCTATCTGTCTCTTTTTACATTATATAATTATAGATACATAGTTGCTCAATTGTATACGTGCATATGAAATTATTTTGCTGCATCTAACGCACATAAGTGCAAATTTATTCGACTATTTGTAGGTAATAAGAAAATTGATCAAGAAATGACTAAAGCACAATTCCAAAATATATTATTTATATATTAATGCTTGAATTTTATATACATTATATAACAAAATTTAAAAAAATTTAAGTTGTACATACATTGTGTGAGATAAACTGTCAATAAATATAAGAACATAATAGAATTTATAATTTATCTCTCATAAATGTTCTAAAGTCTGGTACTCGCACGGTTCCAACAAATATTATCTCTCCATGTATTTCGATTATATAATGAAACGGACGATCTACGACCAACTCTTGCAGTGGACTTGCCAGTTTTCTTACTTCGCTTTTGTCAACTGCAATTAAAAATTTTTTATTGTAATGCTTACACACATAGTATTCGCCTAAAGTTTTTTATTATTCAAATGATACATATAGATTACCATTCGGAACTTCCAAACTTTCTTCGTTAATTGTTACGGAAATTGTTTGAACGATATTGTTCACTTTTAGAGGAATTTTTGAGAGACGTGTAAAATCCGCATTATCTTCGAACATCGTAGTTATGCCCATCTACAAGCAATTATCAGTTTTAATTTCTAGAATTTATCCAACATTTCTCTTGCATATCAGTTATAAATAAATTTTACTGATTACACAATACTTACCTGATGAAAATATTCTGTCATATTTTGACGACATTGACTCGTAAACTTAGGTAAATATAATTCCATATCTTGCTCAAATTTGTTTGTGTATGCATTTCTAATTGACTTAAATTCTGCAAAGTTAAGCTTTTTATCCAAGTACTCCAGATTCCCAGGTTCCATATTTTTATTTGGCAAAAATATAATCATTGTAATGTTGTTATTCTGTAAAATTATATTTTGATTCAATATTTAATTGATATTCTTTAATTGATCTTGATATTCTGTATAATTATTTTATGATTCATTATCTTATTTTCGAAAGTTGTCTTATAAATAATAATTATTTACCAAAAATGGAATTTCTATGCTTGGCGTCTCCCGACTGCTCTTATAAAATATGCAATTAATAATTAGTGTAATAAGAAAGTATAATTTATTATTAGTTAATTCTAAAATCTTATTACTAGTTAATCTAAAATTAGAACTCCTTTTAAATCATATAGTACAAAACATGTGATAATTTATAAGTTAAATCTAGCCATCTACTATTTAGGTAAACAATATTTACCAACATAATTTTTGTACCTTCGTTGATATTAGCTATTCATATAAAGTATTCAATTGTTAAAAATGTGCTTTGTAAAAACTATAATTTATTTATATTTAATTATTAGTCAAACATTTATATAATATACCTGAAGAAATTACGTCATATTCTAACTTTTACTTTCGGATACTTTCGTATTATTAGAAAAAGACGAAAAGTATTTTTACATCTCTCTTTTATTTTTAAATTTGTCAACAAAAGAAAATAAGTTTTTTATTATCTCCCTGAGTATGCATTATATGAATATTAAAATTGTCACAAAAATTGAAATAAAAATAACGCGCAAAGTTACGATTATTTGTCTAAATGATTTTAATTATCTAATTAAAATAAAAGTGACGCGATAATTAAATAAAATTTACAACTCATATTTTACGCATTCGTAGTGCAATATTCGTTTTTAACATTGCATCTAACATCAGCTTTTTGATTATTGTTCTGCGTAATATTACACGAATTATAAAAAAGAAATTTTAACATTCAAAGCGTTGAAACTCCAATATTTAAACAATATCGCGATTTTTTGTATGACATTTTCGAAACCTGACAGAGAGGGAGTATATCTTCAACCGAGCGATCATATGATTGTGGAAGAATTAATTAACGCTGCTATTGATTAAAACTCTTTAGAAATATAAAGAAGACGATTAAAATTGTAGAAAAATTACAATATAGAAAAGATCTCCTTTCGTTCCACAAATCAATTTCTTGTTTCACAAATCAATTTCATCGTTTCCAAAACATTTCTTGTATAAAAATTATTACTAAACTAATAATATTAATCAATAAAAAAAATAAATTAATTAATAAAATTAATAAACTTGTATATAATAATATAACACTAATCTAAAAAAATAATTGTTTTGTATTCAAATTATATTTTATATTAAAATTAATGTAAATTCACTGCTAAAATGCTCAATATTAAACACAGAAACTAACTCTGATCCTTCTTCAATAAAATCTATAGGACTATAATTTAATTCATCTATAATTCTAAATCAATCACATAGCGCACACTTGTAGTGTTCTAATAAATAATATATAATACACAAATTGTTTTTATAAATTTCTAGATATATGTAGCATTTAAATCTTGAGAAATATTTTTCATAATGTATTATATATTTATGCGAGAAGATCAATCAATATAAAACGCGTCAAATATAAAAAGTGCATGTATGCTATCTATCTCTTTTTACATTATATAATTATAGATACATAGTTGCTCGATTGTATACGTGCATATGAAGTTATTTTGTTGCATCTAACGCACATAAGTGCAAATTTATTCGGCTACTTGTAAGTAATAAGAAAATTGATCAAGAAATGACTAAAGCACATTTCCAAAATATATTATTTATATATTAATGCTTGAATTTTATATACATTATATGATAAAATTTAAAAAAATTTAAGCTGTACATACATTGTGTGATATAAACTGTCAATAAATATAAGAACATAACAGAATTTATAATTCATCTCTCATAAATGTTCTAAAGTCTGGTACTCGCACGGTTCCAACAAATATTATCTCTCCATGTATTTCGATTATATAATGAAACGGACGATCTACGACCAACTCTTGCAGTGGACTTGCCAGTTTTCTTACTTCGCTTTTGTCAACTGCAATTAAAAATTTTTTATTGTAATGCTTACACACATAGTATTCGCCTAAAGTTTTTTATTATTCAAATGATACATATAGATTACCATTCGGAACTTCCAAACTTTCTTCGTTAATTGTTACGGAAATTGTTTGAACGATATTGTTCACTTTTAGAGGAATTTTTGAGAGACGTGTAAAATCCGCATTATCTTCGAACATCGTAGTTATGCCCATCTACAAGCAGTTATCAGTTTTAATTTCTAGAATTTATCCAAAATCTCTCTTGCATATCAGTTATAAATAAATTTTGCTGATTACACAATACTTACCTGATGAAAATATTCTGTCATATTTTGACGACATTGACTCGTAAACTTAGGTAAATATAATTCCATATCTTGCTCAAATTTGTTTGTGTATGCATTTCTAATTGACTTAAATTCTGCAAAGTTAAGCTTTTTATCCAAGTACTCCAGATTCCCAGGTTCCATATTTTTATTTGGCAAAAATATAATCATTGTAATGTTGTTATTCTGTAAAATTATATTTTGATTCAATATTTAATTGATATTCTTTAATTGATCTTGATATTCTGTATAATTATTTTATGATTCATTATCTTATTTTCGAAAGTTGTCTTATAAATAATAATTATTTACCAAAAATGGAATTTCTATGAACTTGGCATTCCAATGTGGTATTTCACCATGAATAAATGTCGATTTTTCAAATTTCATTGTTGGAACAAAATACATTTTTGATGGAGAAACATGAAATATGCGTTCCTCTGTTTCTTTTTTATAAGTTAAATCTAGCCATCTACTATTTAGGTAAACAATATTTACCAACATAATTTTTGTACCTTCGTTGATATTAGCTATTCATATAAAGTATTCAATTGTTAAAAATGTGCTTTGTAAAGACTATAATTTATTTAAATTTAATTATTAGTCAAACATTTATATAATATACCTGAAGAAATTACGTCATATAATATCTTGTAATTTGTTGTTTTTCGCAGCCATGAATTTATAGTTTCTGCAACATTTATATTATTTCTGAAATCTACTTTTGAAATCGAACAATATAATTTATTTACGCATATTGATGAAAAAGCCGCCGTTAGCTCAACTGAATTTTGAACATATACTGCGGTTTTTAGATGCAATTCGATGTTTTCGATATCCTAAAAATACATATAAACATATCATTATACAGAAAAATTTTTTATTATAGTATATTTTTTCATTCTTTATCTTACATTTAAATTAGTAAGCATAGCTAGGAATCCGTCTAAATGTGTATTATCAGTAATTTTCAAAAGAGACATCAACTCATTCTTTGTCGCTCCTTCTTTAGCGCCGTTTAAAAGTAAGGACGTTATCATCATTATATTGATAGGACTAAATACTGTGTTTTCTCTGTGTAACAATTGTTTCTGTGGCAAAACATAAATTAAAAATTGAGCAACTCAGAACTTATATAAGATACAAATACATCAATTACATACTATATACGATGGATCTTTTAGACTAGATATATCTTTTAATTCTACATATGTTATAATTGCTGTAGATAGATTAGCAAATATAGTTTTAGTCTTGTCGCTAAATAACATTGATGCATCGAAGGCACACACAATGTTAGCGATGATGATCGCAAATAACGCTGTAAGGGAAAATAGTTCGTTATAAAATCAGGAAGAAGCGGTTATTTCTGAGTATATTAATAATTTATGGCTACTGAAATTTATATATTATTATATATGTATAATTATATGTATGTTATTTTTTGCATATTTTCAAAAGGGTACCCGGTTTGACCCTACCGGTAGAACAAAACCAGGTACTTTGACTTCTCCACAAAATCTTGTTATTCTTGATAAACAAAAATTTTTTTAGCAACTAGACTTATTTTCTCATAGTTTAAGGTTCACTAAAGACTACTAATGATCGGCAAAATTTTTTTTACTCAGATTTTTTGTAGGAAGACAAATCCAAAAAGGTATCCGGTTTTACCCTACTTTCCCCTACCTATAAATTTTTATTTAGTTAGCGCAACATTTTAATATCATTATTTTTGTAAGAAATAAAAAAAAAACTATTTTATACAATCTCCTTTTGTTAAAAAGATTAGGAACGATATAAATTTGACAATTCAATCTTGTCAGTTGAATCTATCGCTGATCGAGTTTAATTGGAATTTGATTGTGTTTAAGAGAGTGATCTTTTCTTCACAATAAATTTGATTTGATTTGCTATATTCTCTTTTTAAATTGCATTTTTTTAAATATTTCTACACTTGAAATAAATTAAATCGTACATCCAGATTTTGAATGAAAGAACAAAAAAGATATAAAGAATTCCAAACAATTTTTAAAAATGTATATTTTGTTTAAGCATTCAAGTAAGAAAAAATATAGGAATATAAAACAATATAATAATACAATATGAAATAGATATTATTTTTAAAACTACTTTAGCAATCTATCGATAATTATTAGATTCAGAATTATTAAGTTTTTGGTTACTCGAAAGTGCTAGCATCAGCATCGCGTTGCTTACAATTGTAAGAAGAAATGTTGTGATTTTCAATCATCAAAATTTCTCGCAAATAAGATTGAAAAATATCTTTCTTAATTTTATCGACAAATACAAAGTTTAAAGTTTGGTCTATTATTCGCTGGACTCCAGCAACGCAGCATTAACTCGTACAAAGTCAGTGGACAATTGAGAGGCGTTGGCAAAGACGGCCAGCAATCTTAGCACATGTTTATGTCGAAAATGATTCATAAGCCTCGCTTCTTCTAAAAACCTTTTTTTCTCTTGCAAAGAAGCATTTTTTCGAAGCATTTTTATGGCAGCGGGTATCTCTATGCCCGGTCTTTCTAATATCTTTACTGTTCCTCGATACACCTGCGAAATATAGACTAATATTTAAAATAAATTTATATTTATATTTTATTAAAAAATATATAGTTTAATGTTAAGTGACATTATATATTTTATTTTGTATTAAATAATAACGAAAAATACGTGGTAGAGTGCATGTGTATGTCATTTCACAAAAATTTTGCATTAATTATCTCTTTTGCATTACTAATCTTTTATAAAATGTTATTCGTGTAATTATTTTTTCAAAAAATGTGTATTCAATTTCTGTAGATAGAGAAATTAGCGTATAATATCGCAAAAATTAGTTTTTACCATTCCAAATTCGCCGCTGCCTAAAAGTTTTTCTAATCTGATTTCCTCACGTTTGATTTTGGTCAGTACATATTCATCCGAATTATATTGCAACATAGGACTGTATAACGTATTGAATTGAATGTTACCCTTAGGTATTTCATGTAGAATCGCTAATTCGATGTCAGTCATTATCAGAGGGAAAACTTGCTCGTTATCTTTTTTGCGTTGTCGGTACACTGTTATAAAATTACAATACGCTTATCTAATAATATGCATTGCAAAATTTGTATCGTCTTTTTAACAAGTAAATTAACTTTTTTTAGAAAATCTCTATATATTATAATACATTAGATATAATCTCTCTTTTTCTCCATTAAAGAACTAAATGTCTATCAAATATACTTACAGTAGTATAAGTAACAGATGCAGATTATAGTAACTATAGCAACAAGGCTTACGGTGAATGATAGGTAATATTGCTTAACTGATATTCCAGAAGTGCTTGAAATATCATCTGTGTATTGCGCAAAAATATACTCTTAATATCTTCATTTTATTTAAAAACTTACTCCTACTTATAACTTTACTATTAAAAATTACTAAGTTTTTAAATTTTGTAAATATATTTTTATATTTAAAATAAGTATATAATGTTATAATATCTTCATTGGCTTACTTGTCAGTGTTGAAAAAGTAAATCTTTTATCAGACGGCCATATAAAATCTTTCTCGTACTTGGGGTATTTCAATATCAAACGAAACTCGTATATAGTTCCTGGTAGTAAGTTTTTTATATAGTACATTACTTTTCCCCCATTATTTGGTTCAAAGTTGTTTTTAATTTGCCACTCTTGCATCTCAACATTTTTATATTCCAATAAGTAATGAACCATATTAACGCTAGGAATCCACGAGATATTCATACCGTTTATGCTAACCTCGCTTAAAGTTATATTGTTTGGTTCCGAATACATGTACAAGGTTTTGCTCAAACTGTCATTATAATGATCGCTGAAGTTGGCTGGATATATACGTACGAATACCCTATATTTCTGTCCTGGTATCAACGGTTCGATTATCGTGAAAAATTTGCTGCCTACCTTATGTTCGGTCTTATTGATAAATAGCTCGTTTATTTGTCGTGTACTATATGATGTATACGTGTACGTTGTATTGATAAATAATGTCCAGTATACTTTATAGATCACGGGCACACAGTGTAATTTCTTGGGTGGCATCCAATAAACTGCTGCTATAGTAGGCGTCAGAGCCTCAACTGTTACATCTTCCGGTGCTTCGAGCTTGCCCGATTTA